ATTTGTTTTTTATTTATCTTCAACCTAGTGTAAATAAGAATTCGTAAAACCTCGCTATTTTGACTTTGCAATTTGATGGACTGTGCAATCAGAGTAAAATCACAGGGTAACATTTCATACATGTACTGACCCACTGCGAACTCAGAAAATTAGCTATTTTTGGTACCTAAAAACAAAACAATTTTCTTCGTAAACTAAATACTACAAATAAAAGACGCTGAGACACTGATTGTTTGGCACAGAGAGAGGTTTTATTGTTAAGGAAACCGCCTACAAGAGACAGACGAAGCGACAACACAATAACAACCTCTCTGCCCGCCAAACCAGCCAAACAACCAATTTCTGAGCAGGCTAAACCAGCGCAAAGATGAGCAACCATGCCCTCGGAAACCTGCAGCTTAAGGGGCATAGAGATACCGTAAAATTCCGAAAATAAGGCCCCGGGGCTTATATTTTTCAAAGGTCCTTTCTGAGGGACTTATTTTTGGAGGGGCTTATATTCGGAAGGGCTTATGCACGGAGGGAATTCGCGTTTCAAAATCGATTAAGGTAGCTTGTAGTGGGAAGGAAATTTACCTTGTTTGCTTTGTTTTACTTTGTATTCGAGGGCAAATTCCAAGTACAAGCCCCCCCGGGGGCTTATATTCGGAGGGGCGATTTCGCGGAGGGTTTTTTGCGTTACGATTTTGGGGGGCTTTATTTGGAGGGGCTTATACATGGAGGGGCTTATTTGCGGAATTTTACGGAATCTAAATAACATTTATACGCGTCTGAGCGCTAATCCCCGAAGACCTGGATAAGTTCCCCAGGAATACCCAACGAAAAGGCCCAAGATGCCCCTCCCCGACAAAAGAAATGACCCGAAACAAATGGGCCTGAGGGACATTCGCAGCGCGCAACCTAGCACGACGAACAGAAACAAACTGACTCTTAAGGACCGGTCGCAATCTACCTGACCGGGACGATAAAAAAAGAAGGGGGCAGGTATCAGGAGCAGGACTAAGCTCACACATACGGTAGAACATACGCACTGCGCAAAGAGAAGAGTAAGGACCACTGACACGTAACACACAAACCGTAACGGGTGGGCACAACATCGCCACGACACAAATGCTTTTTGTCCCGGAAAATTGTCTTCTAAGCGTCGCTGTAAAATTTGTATCTGTTCGGCCATGCTAGGGAAGCTTGAGTCTTTTCGATCACTGGGGAGTGAAATATAAAAAATTAAATTTCAGAAAATCGAAAATTGTACACGAATGGAGCGGTCATCCTGAAAAGACGTCCTTAATAGAGAATTCTGGGCAATATTTGCTTCTCCGAAGAGATATTTTACAGAAAACAGTCGTTGGGTGCCCCTGAATTAAGTAAGGAAGGCCACCGAATCAGAGAGCGATAGACTACCTTACATGGTTTTAAATTATATCTTCCTAACATCACAGACGCCCAGTTTTTCAGATGACGCTCATCTAAAGCCGAGTTTACCACAATTCAATACTTTCTGGAAAGTTGCCAAAGGCGTAGATATATGAAGGTCTCAATGGGGTTAACCGTTAGGCGTAAAACGGCCCAAAATTTAGTCGATAGCCGTAAAAATTAAAAAGTTTTAACCGTTAGCCGTAAATAGGGTAAAAAGAGTTAACCGTAAAAAAATTTGCTCCTTAGATTTGATAATTTGAGGAACGTGCTAAACTCACTTAGAACGGTTGTGTTTCTTATTTCGCGGCTACTTTGACTTTTGACCGTCACTCTTTACGTTCCCGTTTCTGCTAGTTTTGCTTTTCACGAAGATTCTATTCAAATAAACTGTTATGTCTTTTATTAGGAATGGTCCTTTTCATGGCTCACAAAAAATTTTATTTCAGTGACTGGCAATAGCTTAACCTTTTGTTTCCATTTTAAACAAAGAGTCATGTCATTTTAAGAGAATTAGAAAACTGCGGCTAAGATCTTCGAAGCCGCGTACTTCTCACAGGGGCACCCAACGTCAATTTTCGGAAAAAATCTGTTCGGAAGACGATTGGAGATCTAGAATTTTTGGAACATTTGTCACAAAATTTCTTGCTTGCCTGCCTCTCCTAGCATTTTCGAACCTCTAAAAAATGGTAAAAACTGTCCATTTTTAACGAATTTTTACCCTAAAAAGGTCACCTAGAATTTTCGGGTGCCTTTTTTCTAGCTGAAATTTTCGAAAAGGTAAGTTTTGATCCCTATAATTTGCGGATCACTAGAAATTCAGCTAGGGAAATCCGAACAGATTGAAAATTTTTAGGGGATAAAAATATGCCTATATCTACCGTTTAAACACTAAAATACGTTTAACAATGCTATGTTTAAGTGGTTTTGAACTATATTCTCGTTGGGTGCCCCTGTTCTCAGCTTGGCTACTTGTAAATGAGAGAGTCACAGAAATCGAGTCTTAATCTGTATCCCTGTTCTTTTTTTAGTCCATGTTGTTCAATCTGTTCTTCAGTGGGGTAAAGACCCTAGTAAAAAGAGAAGAGGGTAGCAAATACAAAGCGACGCGAAGAACGAATCAGTAGCCCCTGAAGAAAAGGAAATCACGTCTAGATGCAAAAGATGACAAACTTTTTCATAGTTAACATTTCTATACGTAAAATGATATTAGAAGTGGAATACTCTAAAAGCATGATTTATGAAATATTAAAAAGTTTCAGAAGAATAACTTATTTCATCCTGAGATGATCCTAAGACATTTATTTTGCTTTAAAGATACAAAAAAATACACGTTTATTAATATCTAACTCTTTGAAACAAAGAAATTAATTTTTAACTTCATAGTTAACCGTAACTGAAAAAAATTAACCGATAACCGTAAAAGGGTCAAAATTTTAGTCGATAACCGTAAATGCCACCACCCCAATGAGGCCCTGATATATACTTAGAGCCATTAAAATTAAGAATTGTTCATGCTTAGCGTGCGTATATCGAGTTATTGATGCACACCGCTACAGCGAGGTTGAATGAGTTTCCATCTTCAAAATTTCCGGATATATAACAAATCGCTGAAAGACTGGTCCGTCGGGAAACAGTTAATTTTGTTTCCCTCAAATCTCAATGTTTAAAAATTAACTGTTTCCCTCGGGACTAGTCATTAAATGTTTACTATTTTATTAGCATCTCAAAATCAACGTAGGAGGACTCTCTATAAAATCTGATCAAAAGCCTATATTGCAATAGGCCACTTCCGATTTCCAAAAACCCTCACTTTCAAAAAGAGGCCAAGTGCACAACCTTTCTTGTAAAAATGAGTCAAGTTATTTGCTTGAGAATGAAAAATCATTTCCTTATCAAAATCTGAGCACTTAACCTCGTTTTGAAACAGATGCCCGAGGGAACTCGGAAATGTCCCATAAAAATCGAAGATGACAAAAAGCTACAAAACTGGATCATTCGTTTTGTACGTCGAGAACGTATTCTAAGCCTCATTTTGATTTAACCTCTATATAAACTATTAACTGGGCATATTTAAAAACACGCCATCAAAACCATTTGCTTTCCTAATTGCAAACAAAAATAAATTCAACACAGCAATATTCTTTATCACCAACAATTTATTGAAAGTTATCCAGAGCTTCCGGAACCCATCCGAATCCCTTTATCAGTGACGTTTGCTGTTATTTGCAGCCTCTTTTTAATGAGGCTGCAAATTTGTTCTATATAAAATTGGATGAAAGTGGTGGCCCTTTCCCTCTTGTTGGTCGCCGAGTAAGGATGTTTATGCCCTCGTGGACCGTGCGTGGAAGCAGGTGGTTTTCCTGGCCAATATGTTTTACACTGGCCCAGTCGACGAAGTGATCTGCATCTTTAGCGTGGCCGACACAGGAACCCATAACCCTCCTGAACACTGTAGATTGAATTTGCAGGCTTTATTTTTCCGGTGTTCATTTAGCCGGCTAGTGCCCAGATTTCTTGCCGTTTAACCAATATACTCTGCATCACAGTCCTTACATCTGTACCGGAAATCAGTGCAGTGCAAACCTGCGATGTCAAGTCTGCTGCGTCCAGGAGGGTTATGGATTCCTGTGAGATTAATTGAGTAAGGCTGATCATACAGTTAGGAGGATATATGTGTTTTCCAACTTTTCGTCAGTTACGATCTAACTCCTTCATGGAATAACTCGAGGGAACTGAGCAAAGTTTTAGTATACAGGGATGCTTCAATGCCCCGATGTCCGACCCCATACTCTTATGGGGAATTTACGGAGAAACAGTAGGAACTGAGCAACACTCGCTTATGGTTTCCTTTCGTATACCCTTCATTTAAAAGGCTTTTTCAACTACCTAAATGGTACAGTGTTGCTGGGAGTGAGGAACAGGTAAATGTTTCCCAGCAATCTCCCAAAATGCTTAAAATGGCTTAAGAAAGTTGTATTCATGCTTTGTTGTTGTTTTAAGTTTTTTTCTTAAAAATTCCTGTTGGGTGCACCTGCATGAGATAACTACAAAAATAGCAATACATTACAAAAGCAGGAAAAACATAGAACAACAAATCTTATAAATCATGAATGATAAAGAGTGTGCGCAGAGGCCAAGTGAGTTGGTCACTGTCATCTGCAACTAACTAGCGTAGACATTTAAATAAAACTACTAGCAACGTACAACGGAAAAAGGAAAGTGTATTAAGTCTTATTTACGATTGTATATAAAAACAATAGAAATGATTATTGGTAGTGTGGACAGAGAAATCAAACTACTTGTGAGGTATTCAAAAGGTAAAGTTTGTATTGCTTATAGACTTATTATAAGAGAGGTTTTTTAAATTCAGAGTGAATGTTTTCCCAGATTTTAGATCCAGCAAAAGTAAAAGTGGCAGCTCCATAATTATTGCTTATCCTGGGCCGACACATGTAGATGATAAAAGAATATTTGATTTCATTCACAAAAAGCAATAAAATCACAAAATCAATTCAAACAGACTAGAGTGGGGCAAATGTAAAACAAAAAATTGTAATTCCATATATGTCAGTCCGAATTCAGAACTACTCCTTTAAACGGAGGAAAGCTGCAATGGCGCATGTCAAGAACAGCAAGCTGCTGACCATCGGTACTTTGGCTCTATTGCACAGGTCACTATGGCAGCACTTTATTTCACATTCGGTTACTTTTACATTCAAAAATGGTACGACAGTCTTGCAACCATCTGCGTTGCAAACCGATTTGTCGATACACCCTTTCAAAAAAGACTTTCCGGTTTTGCCTTTCACCTCTACTGTCACATGGACTTTATAACAGCCGTCCAGGCCGGGAGAACAATCCGTATTGTTGTCAGGAACACAGTCATCCCAACTCTGAGATGAATAACATTGGTAGCACTTGATGCTGCGTCCTACAAAACAGAGTAGAAAATTTTTGTTACATTTGAGCTTCATTAACTAAATTTCTCATGAATATGAAAACGACGTTCAGGAGCACCCAACGACAATTTTTGGAAAATATTTGTTGGGAAGACGATTTGAGATATAGAATTTTCGGAACATTCGTAGTTAAATTTCTTGCTTGCCCGCCTCTCCTAGGATTTTCGAACCCCCCAAAAATGATATAACTGCCCATTTCAACGGATTTTTACCCTAAAACGGTCACACAGAATTTTCGGGAGCCTTTTTTCTGGCTGAAATTTTCGAAAAGGTAAGTTTTGATCCCTATAATTTTGGGATCACTAGACTTTCAGCTAGGAAATCCGAACAGATGAAACATTTTTAGGGGATAAAAATATGCCTATATCTACCGTTTAAATACTAAAATATGTTCAACAATGCTATGTTTAAGTGGTTTTGAGTTATATTCTCGCTGGGTGCCCCTGGACGTTAGACAGGAGCCCATTAAATGATGGGCTCCTGCGCTAGATCGTCTTCTTTGACTTCAGCGAAGTGATTCCTCATTCATTATGTTAAACTCAACTGCGAACAAAAGCACGTAAAAGACAATTTGTGTCCTACACGGACAAGTTGTCCATGGACCAAGGTCTGGAACGGGATCCCGGGATTCCGCGGGATTTGACAAAAATACAGTGCGGAATTCGAGCAATGATAGCAATAACAGGGGGTGGTAGGCCTACACGACTTTTACCTCATGCCAAAATGCTGTTTATTCCAATAAAGTTGTTTTTATCTGCTGGGTAGATTATGCTCTGGAAGGTTCTGCATTTATACTGAGTAAATGTGATTTTGATCATAGCGGCTCAATAGGACTTGTGTAGGGCAAGCACGCGGGCTATGTTATAATGTAGAATGTAACAAAATATGCCACGTTTTTTATCCTTTACGCAAGGTTCTGTGCGATTTTGTGACAAGCCAAAAGCAGAGCAGAGTACCAAAATTAATCGCAAGAAATCATTCGGTGGTCTTCAATATAGATTGGAAATTATAAAAAATTGACTATTGCTTTACAATTTCCTGAAGAATGAAAAAATTGCTGCTTAAAAATGCGCAAAGTCATGCTGTTTACTAGATTAGTTATCAGTTCATGGCATTAATTAATCCGTGCTACCCGGAGATGGAACTGAAAAACTCAGTCCCAAGAATATTTTCGCGCGTCTCAAATAATGATCATATTGAAATAAAAAGTATAAGGTGAGTTGCTTTTTAGATTTTTCGAGTATTCACCTTTGCATACGTCCATCGGAAAAGTTATTTAAACCGGCATCCGCTCTCTTAATGTCTCATTTTCGAGGTATGAATTAGGATTTATTTTGCGAGGCAGAAAGAACAGAAAACCTTTCAGAGTAATAATGAAACCAACAGGATTTTTTAAGCTGATAATTGCCACAGAAGCAGCCTTTGAAAGCTTGCTAAATCTAATTAAAATACGTACGCATAACAGCGTTTATACTCGCAGTAGCATTTGACCCCGGGCCGTTTTTGACAAAGAGTCGCACAAGGGAAAATAACTTACAGAGTAATACACTGAACATGACTGACTTACCTACTGAGATGCAAAGAGTAAAAACCAACACCACTGAGGAGAGGAAAGCTTTCATTTTGTAAGAAGTTGCTGGATATGAGAGTAGAAAATACGCTCTAAACCTTTAGAGACACACCTTTGCAGGCTGTTGTGAGCACAAGACTCAAGAGGCTTGGTAACCTGCGTGCATGCTTAAGGTAATTTAACGCCGGCACACAAAACATGCATTGACTGATTGATTAATTGAATGAATGAATGATTGATTGATTGATTGATTGATTGATTGATTGATTGATTGGCTCTCTTTTGATCTTTCTTTGTCCCACAATTTTGTTACATTATTTTATTGCGAGTCTTCCCAAACCGTATTTACGAAAACGATCGAGAGCTCCGCATGGTGGCGCACTGGTTTGCTGAAGAGATGACCCGAGCAAGAATCTCAACTGTTTGGGATAAATGGCCACAAGCGTGACGTTTTTAATTGAAACTAATGATAAAATTAACTAATTAACATCTCTTTAGAAAAGGTAGGGACAAAAATTCGCCACAAATTAGAAAATATTTACGACAAACTAAAGACGATAAAACTATAAGAAGATGTAGACAGTGGCAGGTCGGAGACTGGAGAGGTAGTGGGAAAAATTTTCAACTAAGCGTCAAAGGGATGTCAGTACAGGCTGATGGTAATAGTTGGAAGGGCCGCGCAAAACATATAACAAGTCTTTTACACAGCACTAAACACGTTTGATCTCCTGATTGGCCAGGGAACCACCGCCTGCACACTGCTGATAAGAAACGGGAAATGCCTCAAAATAAAATGACATTATGATTCCATCTTCTCATCATAATGTTTGTTTTTGCTTGGCACATGTAAAATGGAAAAATAACAACTGAACCTCACAAGTACGAACCTAACCACCTCTCTTCAAAGGCCATTCTTATTTTTTATCCCGTGCATTAAGATCCACTCCTGTTTTTAATTGATTGATTGATTGATTGATTGACTTATCGATCGATCGATTAATTTTTTTTTTGACAATGTTTCTACCGGGGCACCATTAACTACATTTAAATACGATTATCCTGCCAACAGGCTCGCAAGTAGAGCGGAGAAAAAAAGAAAATCCGCGAACGAAGCGAGCCTTACGTGCCCTGGGGGAGTAACCTGTAGACCTTGCTTTGATGCCGTCCATCCGGTCAGATCGCTGACTATTGACCAATGAGCGTTGACCACCCGGGGGAGGGACTCCGCATATGAAAGGGGTGGGGATGCTCGTCGTCTCGCTTAGGGGTGTAAATTTCGGATTTTGGTCTCACTTAGGGTGCTCTGGGCAAAACGCCATCATATTTAAAATGTTCTAAGTCAGAGTCCTCTGCTAAAGAAGTGTGGTTTCGGAAAATTAAATCGATTAATCTTCCCAAGTTTAAGAATGATATCCGTACTTCAGAATTGCTACTTAACACTCCCAATCACCTTGATGATCTCGTTAACTGTTTTAATACTACTTTAAAGTCCATCACCTACAAACACGCTCCTTGGCGGAAGAGATCCATGACTCACAGAGTTCAAGCTCCATGGTTGTCTGATGAGATCAGATGTGCGAAACGTCGCCGAAGGATAGCTGAGCGTAACTGGAGGTCTACAAAGTCTGAATCTGACTGGAGAACATTCAAACTTCTTCGGAACAAAGTTGTCTTTCTTATGTAAGTCTCGTCGTGAATTTTACACAGATTTTGTCAGCAACATTTCTGGAGATCAACGCAAGCTTTTTGCTACTACAAAGAAACTGTTCAATCAGACAGCAGATACGCCTTTTCCACCTCACGGCGATAAGTTAGCCTTGGCTAATGACATGGGGTCGTTCTTTATTAAGAAAATATCGAATCTTCGTGTTAGCCTTGATGCAACTGAGAATTTGTGCAGCACTGTTAACCGCCATTCTTCTCATTGTTCTTCGTCCTTTACGCCTTTTAAAAACTTTCGACCGATCAGCAATCTTTCCTTTGTTTCAAAATTGGCTGAAAGAGTGGTAGCCGATCAGATTCAGTCCTACTTAAATGAGCATGATCTTTGTCCTTCATTGCAATCAGCCTATCGACGGCACCATAGCACAGAAACTGCCCTGCTTAAAGTCAAGAATGACATTCTGATGAACATGGAAAATCAGAAGGTCACGTTGTTAGTGCTTCTTGATTTAAGCGCCGCGTTTGATACCGTGACCATCGGATTCTCTTAGATCGCCTCCAGTTTAATTTTGGAAATTCAGGCTCTGCACTTAATTGGATTGAATCGTACCTTCTAACAGAACCCAGCGCATCTATTTAGACGGAGTTCTATCGAGTAATTTTAATCTTAAATTTGGAGTTCCACAAGGCAGCTGTCTCGCGCCATTATTGTTTTCCCTCTATGCTAGCAAACTTTTTAAGATCGTCGAATCACATCTTCCTAATTCCCATTGTTATGCAGATGACACGCAACTGTACATCGCGTTTAGATCAGGAAATGATTTGGAGGAGACCGCTGCTATAACTGCCATGGAATCATGTATTGCTGATATCAGTCAATGGATGCATTCGGATAAGTTAAAACTGAATTCCGATCAGACAGAATGTCTTCTGATTGGAACACGACAACAACTTCAGAACGTCAGTAACATTAGTACCTTATCGGTTGGGGACTCCCAAATTGCTCTATCTTGTGAAGTTCGAAACCTAGGAACCTGGTTTGATTCTAAAATGAGTATGCTAAGTCATATCAACAAAACTTGCTTATCCGCTTTCTATTATCTTTATAACATGCGTAGAATTAGGAAATATTTAAGTCGTTCAGTCACCGAATCATTAGTTCATGCTTTTATCACCAGTAGAATAGATTATTGTAACAATATACTATATGGCCTCCCGAATTCACATAATATATAGATTAAGCCAGGGCTAAAAGCGAAGCTCCTATTAACTCGAATTTATAATTCAAATCAAACAATAAACTTGTATTCCACAAATCAGTTAACTTTAGAGCACATTCATGTGACTTTTGAGGGAAAGACTACGTGATTTTCGAGAAAAATAATTTGCAAACAGTCCAAGCTAAGAGTGAACTTAATCTTACATCGAGTTGATAGCCTTTATATGTACACCCAAAAAATAGCAATCATCTCCGATCACATTTAAGAGCCATAATGGCTCTTGATCACAGTAGATTAGGCCTGGAAAACAAATCAGGCCGAATTTTTTGCGTTCGACATGTTTACTTTACAAAATCTTGCCAACAATTCTAGGGACGTGTAAACCAACCTTTTATACTTTTTGTACATCACATCTGAGGTGAAACAGTTCGAAACAGTACCATGAGGCGCCGTTTTCATCATTCAGACCTCGGACAGAATGCAGTGTTTCACAATTTTGCAATACAAATTGCACTCATTCAATATTCAGGACGATCAAAGCACGTGTGGGCTTTTAGCGAAATCGTCAAAAAAATTTCCAAAATCACCTATACGGCTAGCCAGTTCTCACTTTTGACAAGTCGACTGTTTAAATTAAGATTAATATAGTTATACGCTTCAGCACAATAAAGAATTTATTATAAAGATCTGTAATCTTCAAAAGCGTTTGATACGCGCGGCATTTTGACTACTCTTGCAAGCGATGTTCATGAGCGACTGAAAACAAACGGCACAGCGATTAAAATTGCAAAAGAGACTACTTACAATCAATAAAGAAAGGGAAAATAATTCGGTGAAACATATACAGAGACAACAATTTTCATTCACGAAGACAAGTATTACACATGTAAAGTGTCTCTGAAAATCCTTGTTTACGTTTTAAGCCGGCTTCCCGGTGTTTGCTTTTTTCAAAGACGAACTCGAGGCAAGAAAATCGCTCAAAGCTTTCTTTTACAGCCAGAATTGTAACCAAATATTCTTTGGAACGTTTTCTTTCTATTTGCGGTGAGAAAATGTCTAAAGGCTTTTTAAAGTTCCATAAGCTGATAATCAAACCTGATACTCGGTCACTCTCGGTCAGATCATTGTCTCAAATCTTACAAACGTGCATAAACCAAATAGCCGCGTAAACTACGCTCGACTTCATTAAATTAGATATAAAAAACAAACAAATACAATAATTACTCAGGCTTACCTTTTGAGATGCACTGAAAACTATCAAGTAAGGCCAGAACCGCTTCAGACTTTTCAACCGTCTTACGCATCAAGCAAGGTGAAAAACGAAAACGATGCCATCCGAATCGGATTTCCGACTTTGCCAAAGCGACGTATTTCTCAACCAAAAACCCAATAAACAAACTAGCCATGAATAACAGAAGACTCTTGATAGCAGCTGAATTTCACTTTGTACATTTAGTGGAAAAAGACAGTTAAAAACATCACAAGTTGACACAAAACTCTGTCAGCTTCAGCTGTCAAAGTAAACAAGTTTCAAGATGCTGCATAAATTTTCCGCGTGAACTCACCTGTCAAATTTTGACCAATCAGAGTATAAAAATTGGACGTAGAGCGTGACCAACGCGTGACCTTGGTGAGAAAAGTCAAAAGCAACTAGCATGTCCTCCCTGCCTATAAAAACTGGCTTAATTCTTAGCTTCCGAGGTCAGTTTGAAATCAAAATTTTAATTGTGCGGCACATATAAAACACAACATAATTCATATGAATTGAAAAATGAAACTTGAGCCTGCAATCATTTGAAAACTAGTAACTTGTCAGCGGATAACTTTAAAAAGATACTCGACCTCGATGGGTCGACACCTGAGCCCGCGATACGATCAGGTGATACTGGTCAGCGGATACCCTGTTTTGACAGCTGTCAATTGATCACAAGATTGATGTGCAATATGTCTGCAATATCAGTCTTTCTGTGCTCCCAAACTGAAAAGTGTGATTGAACATTGGTTGCCCTGTGGTGCGGACGGACGGGCGGGCTGAGGGCGGTGTACGGTCACGTGATTACCAAATTTTCTGGGATGGGTAGATTTACTTACCCATGGTGCTCCGCAGGCGCGCTTCGCGCGCCAGAGCTCCGCTATCATGAAACTCCAACGGATACAGAATGCCGCGGCT